TTATTGTTTGGGAAAACAAAGGACCTAACTCCACAGCACTGTCAGTCAGGTTCCCTCCCTCTGAGTGTGCACATGTGCCAATGCAAGCATTAAGGTAAACAGCCCAAGAAAGAAAAGTGAATCTGCTTTTTTTTCAGTGCTAATGACCTTAGCAATAAGCAACGATATTGATTACAATCTCTCTCTTCAGATAGGTGCTGTTTTCTCTTGGCTTTCCATTTGAGATGGGGAGGTATGGAGTGAGCTGAGCTCGCTATGGCAGTAAGGAACTCAGAAGGGTTGGAAGGCCATTAACTCACTTGTCAATCATGGTCTTGAAATCCAGAACGCCCTCGATCAGCTTGGCAGCAAACCTGGAAAACAATCGAATGTTATCAGGAGAGAACAGCCCAGAGCAGCGGGCCCCAGGGCAGGGCTCTGCTCCTTGGGTTGAGCCTCTCTGCCAAGTCCCTATCGGGTCTTTGGAGGCTGTTGAAGCCCCTCTGGGATTTGAGACACTGGGTAGTCCTGTCTGTAGCACTTTAACGTTTCTTTGTGTAACCAAGGGCAAGCTTCAAGAAAGCAGGGCTGGGTTCAGATGCCTAGATGACCTCCTAACAGCAGCGTTGTTCAGGGATGTGTTGTGATTTTTGCCATTCCTGAGTCTTAGCATTACAGCTACCCTGAAAGGAGACTTCTGCCTTTCCTTGGTGGGAGCTGCCTCTCACTTTCAGGCTAAGCTGTGGCCACATCTCTCTGTGCCTAAGCCCTACCCTTGCTGACTTAACATTCTTCCTCCCTGAGACGGTTCCTCTGGCGTGGAAGGGTTTGAAATGCAGATGTGCTGCATGCTGACACTGCAGCGCTGCGTTTACTAGGACCAACGTTACACACTTCCCATGCCAACTCCCAGCCGGGAGGGAGGCTCAGGCTGGACTCGTCTGATCTACGAGCTCCCACCCGTGCTAGGAGGAAGGAGGTGACTGTGACAAGAGAGAAGCTCCAAGGCATCCAAGTGGCAGGAGCAGTTAGCGTTTGCAGGCAGTGTCATCTTGATTTGTTCAGCCATCCCTAGTAAAGATCAGAGGAAATAACTCCAAGAACCTAAGGGCTATTGAATAAGACTCCCTCTAAGGTAGTTTTCAGTTAAATCTTCCTAGTTTTATTGCAAAAACTCGAGAATGTAAAACAGCTGGGAAGCAAAGTGAGAGGGCAAACAGCCTGGAGCAGGACTAGAGCCTGAGGGGGAGATGGGGGGAGAGGTTATTTAGTTGGCTTGTTTTCAAGCTGCGGTGCTGCCAGATTAAGGATGGGAGAACTCCACTTTTTTCATTTAACCTCTGCTTTTTGAATCTTTTGTCTCAAACTTCAAACTTCTTTCTGCAGCTGCAAACTATACAATCATACTTTGAAATTTTGTTTTACATGTGAGTTCAGGTGTTTATGCTGCTGCTTGATTGCACCAGTTGGGACTGCAGGTAATGCTCAACTTCTCATCCTCCATTTGGATGACTTAAAAGTGAATAATGTGATCAAGAGCTCTTAAAATGGGATGTTTAGTCTCGTACTTTCCAGAAGGGCTCACCCTCTGCACCCCTGGTCATATGTGGGATGGAGGAATTTGTTCTTGCCCTCACTCGCCCTTGGCCAGTACCTTTAACCTGCTGGAGCAGTGATGACTGGTTACTGTGGAAAAGGTAACCCTGTGTAAAGGCCAACATCAAGGTTTGTGGCTAAAGGTGATACGTGCGTGTGATGGTGGTTAAAAATTAAAGGGGGGCCATGTGGAGAAGAGATGTGAATCTGAGGCAAGTTCCGTGGGTGCTCGGGGACGGCAGTGAGGTGGTCTCAGCAGGGGGACGCTGTGATGCAGAAAGGAGCAAGAAATGGCAGGGTCCGATTGCAAGGAAGAGCTGGGGGTGGAAAGAGGCTGGTCTTCTAAGTTATAAACCCCTCTAATGACAGAGGAGGGGACAGTCCCCTGCAGAAACACTCTGAATGACAGCAGCAGGCTCCCCCCATCCCTGTGAGGTGACAGATTCCAGAGGCGTTTCCATGTGGTCTGTCTTAGAGCTTGGGCTACTTTTTATGCTTCTCTTTAACTGCATGCACAACCTTCATGCCTCTGGTCTTCACTGTGTCTGACCATGCAGAGATCTGTGTTACAGCAAAGGTCTAAACCTATGTTTTGAGGCCCAGTTTGGTGCCTAAACCACTGGATTGTTCTGTTTTCCCCACTGCTGAACTCTTTGGTTTGGTACAGTGAGGAACTTCCTTACAGCCCATCAGTTTTTCCTGGCCCCTCTTGCCCAGCACAGAGCACTATCAGATTTGGGGACCACACACTGAATGCTCCCTTTCCCAGCCAGCCTGAAGACCTTCCTCCCTGTCCAGCAGAAAAGAGCTCATCTCATCCAAAACCTCAGGGAAGCAGAAAAGGACTTTACCTGAGCTGACCTTGCCGATCCAGAAAGTCCTGCTTAGGTAAAACCAAGCCTGGGCTGGAGTGAACCACGACTGGCAGGCGATACTCCAGGTAAGCTGTCTTCAGCCACCAGTCAGAGAGCTGGGACGGAGAGAGGCAACACGCGGGGATGGCAGCTGCTGCTGCGCGGCCCCAGCCCGCGCCGGCCACGGATCCTGCCCCCAGCTCCGGCCCGCGCCTCGCAGCATTGGGCTTCTATGCTGCACGTGCGTAAGGGGATTTGAGCAAGGGAGGGGAGGCTAAAATCGAGGCTTTCCTACTCTTTAAGGCAGCTGTGGGAGGCTAAAACGTTTAGGGGCTTCAGCAGCCATAGACAGGGTCAGTGACTCCCTGTCCTGCCGTGTGTCTCTGCAAACCCAAGTCCTGTGAGAAGCTCATGCAGCAGAAACAGGCTGGGGAGACGCAGCCATACAAGCACCGATGGCAGTGGGTGCACCCAGGGCTTCGGGCAGCCGTGTCAGACCTCCACCCTTTCCAGTCACAGCCCAGGCTGCAGACCTACCCAGTTCTCCGTTTTCTTGGCTCTCCTCTCCAGGCCCTTCTGCAGCCTCTCCCCGACGCCTCCCGGTTTGCGGAATTCGTTCACCAGCTCCTGCGTGTGGTTCCATTCCTCCTCGCTGATGATGGGCTGCAAAGCCTGCAGGTAACGGTCCAGGGTCTGCTGGAGCGGTGGCACCGGGAGACTGGGCAAGGCTTCCTGATGAAGCCGGAATCTGCCCGGGATCTTGTTCAAAGCTGTGGGTTTCAGCAGGCCACAGGGCCTGGCCTGCAAAGCACAGAGGAAAGGTTGAAACAAAACTTGCTCCCGCTGTCAATGAGGCAGCAAATAACTTCCATCTGGAAATCTCCATCCCAACCTCTCTTAGGACACATAGATGTCTCAGTATAGGAGCAGAGCACTTAAAAGCACAAATGCAAGATATAGGTCTAGGGATGACATGCTAGAGACGGTCATAAGATATCCTGGAAAAACTGCAAAAGGAAAACGGGATCTCCCAAGATAGAGATTCTCAGCTCACTGCAGGAAATGCTGCCTGCCACGTCCTGGGCACCTTCAAGCCATGTGTTCGACAGAAAACAAACCCTCCCGTCCCATGGTAAGTGGGAAGAAGCTATGGAAGAATCTTGGGTATTGTCAAAAACTGTTTAATTCCTTCTCAAAAATGTACATCAAATCAAACTGCACGGTGGGCTTTTAGGAGGCAGAATTTAGTCGAGTCTGAGGCAAGACTGAAATCCCCCTTGGCCAGGGAGTGCACAGAGCCAGCGGTGACAGGGCAGGGCTGACTGATGCGCAGGCTTTGGCCCAATGTTTCTTTCTAGTCCTGCAGATTCTCCTAGTTATGCGAGGGCTGGAGCTTATTTAGCTCCTCCGTCCCGTTATACTAGTGTGGGCCTGGCCCAGCTACAGCTGCCTTTGGGGATGAGCAGCAGGAAGAGCAGTCTGGGAAAGTGTGGGTGATGCCAACAGTTCCGTTGGATCAGACTGTGACATGTGAGTGTGAAAACCTTAGAAAGCAAAGGCATCCACCGCCCTGGATAGGGAAAAGGGAAATCCATCCCTATCCAGGAAAAAAACTTGCCAGTTTTCCCTCCAAATTCAAAAGCATCCCCTTGGGTGAGCAGGGTTGGACACTCATCTGCTTGAGGATGTTTAAATTCGACTCCACAGGTTTTGAGATCCCTCTGCTCCTCCCTCTGTGTTGGATCTCCTGAATCAGTCTCCTACAGGACTCTGCCCTGGAATGCAGAGCCAGGGAGAAGGTGCCCTTTGCTTCCCGAGGCGATGAGAAAACAGCCACCCCCCTCCCTAGCTGAGCACTGAGGAGCAGAAAGAATGGGCCAAATCTGCAAAGTTTTTTCCTTGGGGCCAGAGAAAATACTCTGTGCTCCCTGTAGGATGTGGCAAGAACCAGAGGATCAAATTTTAGAGAAGAAGGTTTAAAAAAATAATTATATTAAAACAAACAAACAAAAAAAAAAAGAGAAGGGTCAGTTACTGAAGCATCGAAGAACAGCACTGCGGGGAAGAAACGAGGGAGGTTAATGGTGGCGTGCAGGGGATACTGTACCTTCTCTGCTTGCTCCTGCTTCCTATCCATGGCTGGGAGGTCAGAAAAGAGCGTTAGCCTCTCCCTCCGCTTCGTGCTCCACCTGGCACCGCCGGGGAGTCACCTCCCAGCAAACTGCCCCGCGAGGCACCGCGGGCTGGGACAGACCGGGGCAACCGGCGCGGCCAAGTGCATCAAGTGGCTGCAGGCGCAGGACGGCTGCCCTCGGCCCCCGAGCCGCCGCTTTATCTTTATCCTGTCGTTTGCCGATGGGGACACGTGTTTGCAGAGGGCAGAGTCCCTCTTCGATCACTCGCTCTGGGTTTACGGCCATGGGGGCACTGGGAAGTCATCCCGTCAGTTTGTGGGAGCAAGGAGGGGCTTTTCCTTTAGCTTCTGCTTCGCGTGTGAAGCTGCAGCAGCAGTTCTGGGACAAGTGAAACATCTCTGGCCGAGGGTGACCTCAGTTTATGTCCTGGGAGCAGGCGGCACTCTGGGCTGTCACCACACGGCATGAGCCATAGGGAGAATTTCTGGAGACGATGGGGAATTCAGTCCCTTTGCTCAGACTGGCAACAAGGGGGACCAGAGGGCATCACACGGGGACAACTCCCTAGCAGGAACCGGATCCCGACCCAGCATCCCTGTAGACAGATTAGCCCCACACGGGGCAAATTCACTTTGGGGACAACAGGTACCATCTCACTGCCCTCATGCCCAGTGCAGCCATTTTAGTGCAAGCTGGGACTTGGGTGATTTTTAGACTGCCAAATCTTAAAACCAAACAAACAGGCAGCTCCAAAGCAGGGCACAAATGGAACGAGCAGGTGCGGGACTATCCCACCCTCCCCAGTGCCTCCTAGTGCCGTGAAGTGAGAGGGCAGACACAGGCAGCCCTACACACAGCAGCTATCTAGTGTCACCGTTCCAAGCAGCTTCACATAGACCCTGAAAATACTGCATGTCAAAAACAGTTTGTGCCTTTCTCACG